GGATTGCAAACTGGAGGATGTAGAGGGACCAGAACTGGTCCAGGAGCTCCATTAGCCCCCATAGGGTTTGGGTCACAGGGCTTAGCATCTCCCAGCCCATCCCCAGGTCCCACAGCTGGGCTGGAAGGAGCCCAGGGGACTACAAGCCCAACCTGGACACAGGTGGGAGCACCCAACCCTTCTCCCAGGGCAGGCTGTTGGGATAAGACGCTGGGACGTGGAGCCACCTGGAATGCCAAGATCAGCTGCAGTGGTCACACTCCAGGGCCAGGAGACACCATGAGGTGGGGCCAACAGCCTCCACCTGCCCATCCTGGGGTGGCAGCAGGGACAACCACTAGCCCAGGAGCCTCCATAGGCTCAGCTTGGCTGGATCCTGACTGGTTCCACATGGAGACACCTCAGGAGGGTTTGGTGGGGACAGTTGCCAGTGTCTACCTGACGTCCTGAGGTTCAGAGTGTTAAGCCACAGAGTCCCCCGTGCCAGCTGGAGCTGGAGATGTGTCCTGTGAGATACATCCTGGCACCAGTGGGGTGGACACCATGGAGTGGGGGAATGGGGCAGCTCTGAGGAGCATCCAACAAGGGCTGGATGCTTCCTAGGGATGTGGTGGCTGATGCCCTCAGCACCATGGGTCAGGTGGTGCTGATGCGGTGGCACAGGTGTGGCCATGGTGGCTCTGCCAGTGGTGCTACAGCCCAGGTGGACATCAGCACCTTCAGCCCACAGGCAAGGAGTGTCAAGGCCATTTGAGCATCACTTGGGCTGGAAACATCCCAGTTTGTCTGGGTTGCGCTCTTTGACGTAGGGTGGATTCCTTGGAGCGTGGCACAGCCAGGTGGGAGGTCCCAGGCTGGAGTCAGGCACTGCACAGTGTACAGGGACGTGTGGGTGGGGTGGGAAAACGGCATGGGATGGTGCCACCTTGAGCTGTCACCTGAGGAGGCCCAGGAGCCTCCAAATCCCTGGATAGCTGCTGTCTGGGAGGAGAGGAGCAGCACAGCCCAGTACTCCCTCCTGGGGTCATCAGAGGGGACCTGGGCTGCCCTCCCTGACCTGCTGATTGTCCCCTTGGCCTGCAGAGAAGCTGGACGAGATCCTGGCGGCAGCAGAGCCAGCCCTGAGGGCAGAGATCGTGGAGGCAGATTCCAGGGCAGCCACTGTGAAACAAAGACCAACCAGCCGCAGGATCACACCCGCCGAGATCACTGTGAGCCCGGGACTGGGCAGGGAGAGGGAAGGGAACAGAGGGAGAGGGCGGACACAGTGGAAGAGGGACGGGAGGGACCGGAGGAGAGGGAGGAACAGGGGGAGAGGGATGGAAGGGCCCTGGAGGAGGGAGAGGGAGGGGAGGGAACAGGGGAAAAGGGAGGACACAGGTTGAGGAGGGGGGAAGGTGAAGTGAAGATGGAGCTGGAGGTGCAGGTGAGGAAGATCCATCCTCCTCTTGGAGGCACAGGGCCTGGTCCCACCTGGGCTGAGGGGCTGAGGGCGGGTGCTGAGCTCTTGCAGCCACATCCAGCCTGGCGGTTCCCTGTCCCCCTGCAGTCGCTGTTCGAGCGCCAGGGCATGGCAGCACACCCAGGGGTCCTGGCGGCCACCGACAAACCTCACATCTCCCTGCGCAAAGGCATCCCCAGGACTAAGTCTGTGGGTAAGGAATTCCTGCCGGGAAGGAGAGGGAAGGGCCCTCTGCAGTGATGCTGGCTCCGTGGGAGGGGGTGGGAGAGACTCAGCCATGCCTGGCTGGTCCCTGCAGCTCTGGGAGAAGAGAGTGGTCTGTGGAATTCCGGCTGGGAGGTGGTTCTGGTCCTGATGGAGTTCCAGGTGGGATTGGAGCACTCTGAGGGTCTCCTGCTTGGATCTGCCAGGGGTGAGAGGGCTCGGCCACCCTTTGTGGTGGCACATGGGGTTGGGGACAGCAGTGTCACCCCTGGGGTATCACAGGCTGAGCTGTGGAGCAGGGAACAGTGGAATTGAGGCTTAGGAGAAGCAGGACAAGAGCTGGAGAAGGTACTTGGCTGTGGTGAGTCCTCGAGCCTGTCCCAAGAGGTTTATGGTGCTACCAAACCCAAAACTCTGTCTTTGAGCCTGTCCCAAGAGGTTCATGGTGCCACTAAACCCCAACCTGGCTGTGGTGTGTGATCCCAGTGGGCGATTCCTTGCTCCCAGCAGGAACGGCTGCAGCTCTCCCAGCACATCCCAACCATAAACACAGGAACAAATCCCATCTGGCTCCTAGTGCTGCTCCATCCAGGGGTGCCTTGTCCATCACCACCACGGGGAGGGAACACAATCCCCACCCAAAGCAGCACCTGGAAGAAAGCAGCTAATTCCTGTGGAATTCCAGAGGAGCTAAAATAGGGAAGAGGCCACCAGGAGAAACTGGGTTGGAATTGGCTCTTTTTAGAAGTCCTTGAGCTGTCATTTCCCACCCACAGCCTCATCCTCTGTACAGTCAGTTGACTTCGTGAGCCAAATCCCTCCTGCAAGCAAGGAAGATGAGAAATCAGGAGAGGTTGTCGGTTGGGAGGTTTTTCCATGTAAGAATGCTCTGAGACATTTGCATATTCCACAGCTGCTTCAGATTCCCAAAGCCTTGGGAGAAGATATCAAAGGGTTTCATGTTCCCAGCTCAAAGCTCCTGGAGATATAGGTGTTTAATCCCCTCCTGGCTCCAAGGAAAAGCAGGATAGGAGGAATATTCCAACCAAAAGCATGGAGTGCATTGCAGGGGGAAGGCAGAGAGGGAGGATTATCACTGTCAGACTTCCAAGAGAGCTTCAGCACCATCTGCTCCTGCAGCAGTAGTTAAAAACACTTGAGAGGCTGCAGAGCCTCCATGAGGCGCTCCCTGGAGACAATTCCAGAGTGGTTTTGCAGGGAAGGGAGGGATGTGTGGCCCCAGGAATGTGGGGGGCTGCTGTCACAGGCACCTTCCTAAGGTGGTGGTCAGAGGGATGTTGAGGAGCATGGAGTAGGTTGGGTGGGAAGGACCTTAAAGCTCATCCCATCCTGCCCCCTGCCATGGGCAGGGACCCCTTCCACTAGCCCAAGTTGCTCCAAGCCCCATCCAGCCTGAGGATGGAGATGCTCATCCCTGGGCACCACAGCTTGGAGATGCTCAGCCCTGGACACCAGAGGACGTTGATACTCTCCCACTTCCCGCTCCTGGCCAAGGGAAGCTGATGCCCTTGGCACTCCCCAGCTCCAGCTCAGGCCTTGGGAACTGCTCCCTCATCCCTACACAGAGCAGACAAGGCTGGGAGCAGAGGGATGAGCTCTGAGTGGAGCCACCTCATTCCTCAGCCCAATCAGTGCAGAGTCAGGTTCTCCCAGGGATTTGGGCTGTTATGGCAACAGGCCCAGGAGCTTTGTGGAGAGGCTCTGTGATTTTCTGGGAGATGAATAATGCATGGAGCTGGCTGAGAATGGCAGGGGGTTGGCAGGAGCCAGGATGCACCTGGGAGAGGATTCAAACCCAACGAGCTCAATGTCGTCACAGCCCAGAAACGAACTTGGTCCTGGGTACATCCCAAGGCATGTGGCAGCAGGTGAGAGCGGGGATTCTCCCCCTCTGCTCTGCTCCATGAGACCCAGCTGGAGTGCTGCACACAGCTCTGCTGTCCCCAACAGCAGGAGGACATGGAACTGTTGGAGCAAGGCCAGAGGAAGCCACAAAGCTGAGCAGGGACTGAAGCACCTTCCCTGCGAGGACAGGCTGAGAGAGTTGGGGCTGCTCAACCTGGAGAAGAGAAGGTTGTGTGGAGACCACAGAGCAACCTGCCAGGAGCTGAAGGAGCTTCAGGGAAGCTGTAGCTCTACCAGCCTGTCTCCATGGCAGAGAGACTCCAGAGCCATGCAATGGTTTGGATAGGAAGGGACATTAAAGGTCATCCAGTGCCACCCGTGCCGTGTGCAGGGACAGGTTGCTCCAAGCCCCATCCAACCTGGCCTAGAACAGTGCCAGGAATGAGGCAGTCACAGCTGCTCTGGACAACCTGTGCTGGACAGCCTGTACTGCTCTGGTCCCTTTTAGGAGGACACATGCCCTTGGCACTGCTGTCCCCAGGGATATCAGCTCGCAGGCTCTGGGCAGGCTCCCCGACTCCAAGTTTCCAGCCTGCTCCCAGGGGATTCCTGGTGGCTTTTGTTCCACTCTGGAGACTCTCAGGCACAGCTCTAC